TCAACATTTTAGGACAAATAATAGCGGCGGCGAGATTGTCACAAACTCAGAAGAGAACAAATACATGGGAATAATTTTGACGATGGATTAGATCCAGAATAGATAGGAAAGGATGTAGTGAGAAAAGGTGTAAATATGAAGATGGGGCAGCATATTCGGCTTGCATTCATAGGTGTGAATCATGCACGGGTTTATTGGAGAGTACAAAGGCGATTGGCTGGAATATGAATGCAGAAATGCAACAAATATACTCACTCACTGAAACCGCACAGAGCGAAACACCTACACGAGTAGGTTGAGAGCATAAAGTGAAGGCCCCTTTATGGATTATATCAATTTAAAAATGATCTGCTTCCCTCAAGTACTCAAAGCGCTGATATGGATAGACCAAGTCAAGTTTTGAAATTGCCTTGCATGTTGATGGATGAAGTGTACAAATATCAAAAAAGAAAACATAGGGGTCTCCGCTAATGTTGGGTATGCATGAAGACTTTTAGATGAAACACAAAAGGAAAATGGAAGTAGTTTACAGGTGCACAGCAGTGAAACAGACTTCATAAACAGGAAATACAGATGTCTGCAAGTAGAACGAGAAACGAATTAGCAACCCGCCCATATGGCCACGAGGATAGTGAAGGATTTATATTCATGTTTGTGTGTATATATATATATATTCTTGTGTATAGCAGAGGCAAATTCATGCAGGAGCGAGGTATACCACGGAGATGAAGATTACGCCACAGCAACCCAAAGACATACGGGTGTTAAAAGCAGAACGAGCCAAAGTGGACTCTTGAAGAAAAATGTGAAAACATGGTGCTATAAAAAGAAAAGTATGCACCAACCCAGAATGTATATCGATGCAAGTACTGGCCAAATAGTAAAAGCTGAATTAGTAGAGATTATGTAAGTGGAAATGTCAGTAGAATTTTATATGGAGAAAAAGTGAGTAAAAGAAATGCTAGAATTGAATTTAATAGTGTCTCACAAGTGTAAACGGGTAGCTAGGTATAATGAAATATGGATAAAGGAGGTTCAATCAGATTTTTTAAGCCAAGAAAGTCGCCAATAATGCCAGAGAAAATAGGTGGAAAATGAACTAGATGACGCATAGGAAAGTTTCTAAAATTGTCAAATAACTGAGATAAACATCAATAGTAAAGCCGGACTTGTGCGTCAACTTGAAGAAAAACATATTTGAAAAAGATGCCTGTAATAATGTTATTATCTTCTTCAAATTAATGACATAATACAAGCTAGTTCGTAGATAAAGATAAATTGTAGTAGAAATATAAATCTATGATGAATAGGGAAGATATTTACAGTGGATGACTGAGAGTATATTGATAGTGAGAGTGCCCCGTGTAACATAAAATGGTCACAGAAGAAATAGAAAGAATTCGTCCTAGCAGAAGAATTCTTGAGAATCAAAAGTTGTCATTGGAATCGAAGCAATCGAAGAATTCCAGACTACGGCGAGTCTACATTAGTTTGTATTAAGTCTGACCAACTGACAGCGCCATTGAAAAACTGAATTGGGTTGAGAGAAATTCGATTGTGGCCATCGAATTGTGAGTGCAGACTATCAGGAACTGGACTCAAAAGAGCAAAATATTAAGATGAAAATGCGGCCACTCAAAGTGATATGGCTAAGAGGCCTAATAAGCAACGAGGAAAGAGTCGAGGAAGTAAAACCATCAGAAAGAGAAAAATTAGGCAAAGGTTTGTTAGAGTTGTAATATAGCTAACATCGTCTTGACGAACGGCCAGCCAGAGTACCAGAACTAGAGCTTGATAAGGCAGAAACCCCATCAGTTTTGGGATCGGTTACTGAATTTGAAATCGTAACTGTCGTTGAAGCTGACGACGAGGACAAGGATTGATTAGAGTGTAGTCCTATGATAGAAGTCCGTGTTATCCTACCAGCAGATGAAGAATAGGACAATCCAGTGGTCTCAGGAGTAAAGTTGGTCGCAGGACGAGCTCCGTTAGGAGTAGGTTCGGTTTGGCTGGCTGAAAGAGAAGGCCGCAGAGACCCAGTTCTCGGAATAGCAGTAGTAATGGAAGGGGTGATAACAGATCCAATGGTGGTTGAATTAGAGATCGAGAGAGCCATTTGCTTTTGAGGTTGCAGTTGGTCCTGTGCCTCCAGTATATGTATTATTCGCTTAATAGATTCAGAGCCCGAGGAGCCGACACCTTTTGCTAAGGAGAGGAAGCTGAGTAGCTTGGCCAACATAATTGCTAAGGGACGAAAACGACCATTTGGCAATTTACCACGAATACGTTCTGTATAGCGTGGGCTTGTTTGAAGAATGCAGCCGAGTAACAAAGCTGGATAAAGCAAAATAAATGTGGTGTGTGAAAGCTAAGTAAATGAACAATAAAAGTAGACGTGATACGCATAAATAGC